AAGCCAGTTTTCCGGTGTTGACATAAATTAACATTTTCCTGTTTGTAATATTACAGCATTGCATCTATATTGTAATGGAATCTTTCCCGCATTTCATTTTAATAACCGTTTTCTTCATAAGCAACCTGAATAAATGACCGCGTACTGCTTCCAGATTATGATAAAATTTAAATTCTTATTCAGACAATAAAGATTCCAGTTCTGCAGAATCATTTATATTAGGTGTATGTTTCAATGAATATTGAAATAAGTAAAATACTTTCATGTTAAAAATTCATCGTATTAGAAAATAAATGAATTGAACATGTATGCATATAAAACACGCATTCTTCATCTGGTAATGTGTAAATGGTATATAAATACATATGTAAAGTTGTGTAATACCAATGCAATATAATTTAACACTATGCATCTATTAATTTATAAACAGATAAGTTTATAAAATCATGCACATGTACATAGCAGGTGTGAAAAGTAATATATAGCAATGAATAGGATAAAAATGCATATTTATCGCATATATAAAAACAAGTTATTTTTGTTAAGTGCAGGAATTTTACTTGTGGTGGTAAAATAATTCGTTTGTGCTATGGCAGTGTCAGCGTTCCTTTTTTGAATAGTTTCTTCACGTGTTATTTCTAAATGAAGCACATTAATCAGTCATTATGAACGCTTAATTCTCAGAAAAATCAGGCAATTTCTATCTAAGAATTTACCGCAGTCCTCAAAAGTTCTGAGAAATTTAAAAAATAGTAAATACTTAAACATCTTCCGTTTTCTCTAAACAGACATTTATAAGTGAAAAATAAAACTGTCCAAATACAAATAAGTAATCAATTCGTTTTTATATATATATATATATATATATATATATATATATATATATATATATATATATATATACATGTATGTATCAAAATAATTGTTGGACTTTTTCCATTTCATAATGTGTGCTGTCATTTGATTACATTTCGATACGCAGTAAGTAGATATGAATGTAAGTGAGAGATTCATGGAAGAACGTAATTTAAAAGCCGTAAATTCGACCTTGCTAATCGAACGATCCTGTGTGACTCAATCGATTGAGGCACGTCAGGCTTATATGGCGGTTCCGTATAGAATACTGGTTCGATTCTTGTCGGAGGACCAATATTTTCCATGAAAATTTTCTCGGTCATTCAGACTGGTAAATGTTATTAATACTGTTTATTATAAACAGAGCATTAATTTAAATATTTGTAACTATAAAAAGAAAGTATAAACATAAAAAATATCTGAAAATAATTGTCAGACTTATATATGTATGTAAGTAAGTAAGTATGAGGGTGAACAAGCGTGTATTTCAGATGCTTTGTCCTTACGTTTCATTCTAGCCATTCTGTTGATTAAAATGTAGCAAGGTATTTGAAGGAATTTCACAAACCACTTTCAAGATGGAACTAATCCTCAAGAGAAAGCGATTCTAAGTCTCTTTTCATTATGACTTTCATGAGATTTCCCACAGTGTTTAACGTCCTATTAATGCTGGCTCGGCATCGTCAGAGGAATTGCCAGAGTAAAGCGAATAACAGAAAAGTGTGGAAGAACATTTAAAGAATATAAAATTAATAAAATTTTTATAATAATAATTAGAAGACGACGTGAAGTATAAAAAAAGTAAAAAAGAAAAAGAACAAATGATGAAAGATAAGATGAAGCATTAAGAATTTGAAGAAATACAGATATGTAGAGAATAAGAGGATAAGGAAAATGAGAGAAAGAGAGAAAGAATAAGAAGTGTAGGGGATGAATGGTATAAATCATCGTTTCTTTAAAGGAGAGAAAAAGAGAGAAATGGTTAGAGAAGAGACACTAAAGGAATAATACAAAATACAGAAGTTCATTTAAGAAGTCAGAAAATAAAATGTAATAAAATAGAAAACAGTGTAAAAAGTGTGAAAAGAGGCTAGAGAAAGAAAGTGAAGTGTATTATAATAACGTAGAGAGCCAAGAGAGAAAAAAATGTCAAATTTATATTGAGTTATAGTTAAAAATCAATAAAAATATTGTGTCTGATATTATTTTGGTTATGCTATAATTGATGTCAAAAGTGAAACCAGACTTTTAGCATAAAAATAAATTGAATGTTATTTTTTATTATTCTTAATTTTATTCTGCATAAGTATGAAGTCTAAACCCTTGATCTAATGACTCTACCAACGTTATTAAATTTTTACAAACAGTAAATCAAATACAAATCATGTCTTTCCCTCTCGTTCTCTATTTCTCTCTGTCTATACACACACACACACACATATATATATATATATATATATATATATATATATATATATATATATATATATATATATATATATATATATATAGATATATATATTTGGGTGTCTATGTTTCATTGAATGCGACAGAGAAAGAAAAACTTAGAAGTAATTCATAAAGGATTTCTGATGTGCTTTCAGTTATATATTGGGGGGTACAATGTCTGTCACATTCGATAAAACATATAGAATGGAATGACCAAATATAGATATGATTTACTGCTTGGCATTCGCGCCGGGAGCTCCAGTACGAACATTTTCAGAGTGATTCTGTATCAATGTGCGGACAGTGCACAGCATTCAGACAAAGTTGGCTGGTCTAATGCTAATTACGAAAGTTCCGCAGCTCAGGAAAATCAAACTGAGCGCTCTGATAAGAAATAACTATCGAACTTTTTGGTGAGGGCCTCAGACTCAACACAGAGGCCTACATAATGTACGTTGTGGAAGTAGTCCTGCCCAGGGAAGACCCTATATCTGGCAACATGATTCTGCGCCATGCCACATACACAGGAGAACCCAGATATTGCTGTCAGGTAAATTCTGCGACCACATCACCTCTTCCATCTGACCACCTATTTCCCAAGACTGAAACCCTGTTGATCTTTATGTGTATGGCGAGAGACCAATAAAACTGCTTGTAACACCAAAGATGAACCGAAGGCAGTGTTTATGGCAGCATTCATCAGCTTTAAAATGAGACAATCCAGAAGAGTTGCAGGAGATTCCCAAGTCGTCTGGTGACCGTGGTTGAGACAATAGCGATTTTATTGAATAAATCTACTCTTTAGTATTTCAAGATATTTGTGTAATTTTCATAAATACACCTTTTCATTTGGGATGTCAGTGTCATTTTCCTTTTCATTTTTGTTATTTAGACAATAGTTCATCCATCGCACCCAGTGTGTGCGTATATATATATATATATATATATATATATATATATATATATATATATATTAATACAACGTTCTATTGCTTGTTCACACACGATACACGCACACATACATTATATTTTCACAAACATCCATCGTATTAATGAGAATTATTTCATGATGCTTTATTCTTTCGTCATTATTCTTTCCACTTGTTAATTATCGTTAAAGACAACGTGAAAAGAAAGTTTGAAGATATGTAATCATTGCGTATTTCGTTTGATATCAGGTCGTCAACCTGTTAATGTAAAGATACTTTTAACCAAATTGCGAAAGCGTTTCATTTTTTATTTTTTTCTTCTTATATATATGATATATTAAGCCAAGTACTAGAAAATCACAGTGAATCTTCTTTTCAGATCTAAGGACTAATATCTTCTATTAATAAATCTTCAGGAAAATGATGTACACGTTTTATTGTTTGTATGTTGCCTTTATAATAAAAAACAAACTATTCCAAAATATGAACATAGAAAATTCATGTAAATTTTATTTTCGTTCCTCCTTACATACGTCTATATCTGGAAGCGTAAAAGCTAGAATTATTTGGAAATGTCAGATTATAAGTAGTTAAGAAGAAACAAAAACCATGTCTAGACAATGGTATGTTAAAAATGTTATGTAATTCAAAGGAGAAAAAAAACATTTGGAAGGAAATAAAGAAAATACTGATGATAAACCAAATAGGAAATGTAATTATTCGACATGTTTTGCTGGACCTGACCCGTTCTAAGCGAATATTGAACGACGTATGCGAAACGGTAAAAAAAAAAACAGCAAACAATACTCGTTGGAACCTGACCACAATATAAACATAAATGTTTTGATGGAATTTTGAAGCATTCAAAATAAACTTTACAATTCTTTTAATTTCATCGACTTCAATTCTCTTTTAATCACCACATATTCTCCTAAGTACAAAACACTATAAATGTTTAATTCAGTAGTGAAAATTAAATTCACTAAAATAATGAACCGTTTAAAATACTGCTTCCGGAATCAACGACTTCGATAAATTTAAATACAAAAAAAACAATTATTATTAATGTTATCTGGAGGGAAATATGTAAAGCCTTTCAAAAATTGTGTTAATTGACATAAAAAAAATAACCGAATGGTTTCTACGTATTGTGTGAGTGTCGCATTTCGAATAATAGGACGAAATGTTTTCTTTAAACGTTGATATTATTCAACAATTCTTATCCAAAGGATGAGTAATATTTTTCACGGTGGTTCAGTGAGCGAATTCTATAGAAATTATTTTCTGCTATAAAAGCCTGAAATCTATTGTAATAAATTAACTTTTTAGAATGTCTTTAAGAGTCAAAACACGGAATGTTCAAAATTTACGGGTGGCCAATTAAAGAAATAAATGATAGAATTATGGATATACTTGTAGATTAAACGGAATGAAAAGTTTAAACTTATTGGAAACATTCTGTTGGACGATTCTTCACATCTTACGTAGAATCTATTAGCAAAAATTAATATAATGGTACAATAAACCTCGATATATTATTTGGTTCAATGCAGAAAATTGAAGGCACGATCGATATCGGTTGTGATTGAGTTCATCTCGGGTTCATTGCATTTACTTATGTGCTAATAGCTGAAGTCGGCAACCAAACTAAGATAAGGGAAAGAAAGCGGAATTCAATCCAGTGTGGAGAGGGCTGGGCTCCGTCAAGTTTTCTTACCATGAAACACCTTTACTGTTATGGCGGTAATAGATGCACTACCCCAGCGACTAAAATTGTATACGTGATTCGTTGTCGTGAGAAATGCAGTGCCCCTGCATATCTAAGGGGATACGGGGTTCTTGGTCGTGAGAAATGCAGTGGCCCAGCATCACTAAGAAGATACGGGATTTGTGGTCGTGAGAAATGCGGTGCCCCTGTATCACTAAAGGGATACGGGATTTGAGGTCGTGAGAAATGTGGTGCCCCTTCATCTCAAAGGGGATACGGGATTCGTGGTCGTGAGAAATGTGTTGTACCTTCATCTTTAAAGGGACACGGGATTCGTGGTCGTGAGAAATGCGTTGCACCTGCATCTCTAAGGGGATACGGTATTCGTGGTTGTGAGAGATGAGGTGCCCCTTCATCTCTAAGGGGATAAGGAATTCGTGGTCGTGAGAATATCGGTGCCCCTTCAACTCTAAAGAACACGGGATTCGTGACCGTGGGAAATGCGTTGCACCTTCGTCTCTAAAGGGACACGGGATTCGTGGTCGTGAGAAATGCGTTGCATCTGCATCTCTAAGGGGGATAGTGTATTCGTGGTTGTGAGAAGAAGAAAAAACAAGATGATTACAATGATCTACTCATAGCGATTCCAGGAATATCATTATTTAAGTCTTTGTACCAAAGGAACGTTGGACTAATTGTGAGTTCTCAAACAATGTATTTCATAGCAGCTTCATATAATATTGTGTAAGTTAAACTTTCTTTACGTTAACATAAACACATGTGAAAGAACACAGGATATATTCGAGATTACGCCACACGTCATTATGTGGTGGAGCTGCTGACGAGATCTAACAAAGCGAAAAAGAAACAAGCAAATCCAGTAAATGAACAGAAATTAAGCTGAACAGAGTGAAAGAAAAATTATTGTTTCAATAGTTCATAAAATATTTGACAAAATTTCAAACAAGATTCCTGAGATAAATAAATAAATATATTACCAAACAAATATATTTAAACGACTTAGTCCGTCATATATATATATATATATATATATATATATATATATGTATCATTTGGTTTTGCAAAAATGCGGGGATATATGTAGTAATTGTTCCGTTCAATGGGAAGGCGCCTGCAGCCAACGCACATTGTTACTCAACCGGCGATGTTATTCAGCCAAGGGCTTCGTACTCTCTTATTGAATTCAGATGCGTGATTTTGAAAAGATGCGCTGAAAAGGCCTGCGACATTTACAAATGTAGAGAAATTCAGACAGATAGCATGCATCATATATTGAATAAAGTTCGGTAAATAAGTCTCCAAGATCATGGAAATTCTGCATCAGGCTTTTGGTGAAAATTCTTAATGTCAAACACTAATGTTATATTTATATAGCATCTGCTCCTTTTACTCCTCATACCATCTGCATTTTAGTAAAGATCTCATAGACTATGTTTTTGGAATAATGGCAGGAAATATATACAAAGACAACACAAGATTATTCCTTGTCTTCAGCTGATGTAAAAAACTTACATTGATTAAAATTCCTAAGGCTATGCTAAACTGGCACACTTGTTAAGAAAAAGTGATTTTGTTAAATTTAGAAGAATTAACTTCTTGCTATAGAATGTTTGTTAATAATATTTGTTGACATTGGAAATCTCTCTGTAATTACATATTTAAAGTTTATTTTCTGTGAGTTAGAAACAACTAAAATGTACATTAAAGGATAGAAATACTTAAACATAACATAGAAAGATTTACGACATATTTGAAATGTAGGTATAAGCAAAAATTATCCATTTTTTGAATCTTGTGGACTGGCCCTAGTGAATTACAAAGAACTGTACCAAATAACTAAAACCACGTCACATAAGGACTTTCAAAAGGAGCAACAGCCGAAATGGACGTACCATGTAACTCGGAGAGGACATAATAGCATAATGGCGATGATGGCATTCCACACTACTTCAAAAAAAGTTTAGGAAAGAAACCTATTTATGCACTATGGGTAAGAGTCTTAATAAAATTTTATTTTACGTTTTATGTGGCAAAAATAGTCCCAACTTGTATACAAACTAGTAAACCTTAGTTTTCGATTACCTGAATTGAGAAAACCCGAACGAATTCTATAAAACAAAACATCAAGAAACGGTTAGGGAAATGGTAATTTCCTTTTCTTTTGTAAATTTAAGAGCTGGGTAGATATTATTAAGGGACATTAAGAAAATGTCCGCTTCATTTTTGCTATTGAAGACACAAAATGTTGCATCGACGTAACGAAAGTCAACATCAGTTCTATCAGAATCCGATAATAAACATCTCTTCATGTAAGCCGAAATGGGAACTAAAGTGAAACACATTGACACTCCATCAGTTTGCCGTCGATGCTAAATACAACCGACATCGTTGTAAAGTTCGACAAAAATATCCTCTGAAATAGGAGGAGAGAAAAACTGACTACATTATAAGGCGTCAGCACATATATAAACAGTGCCAATAAGAGGCACGCAGGTGAAATGCTTAGAAATATCAAAAAACGCATAAACTTGTTTCTCGACGAGTAACACTATGTGATTTACCACTATATTACAGCCAGATTTGGAACAGTTTAATTCGTCTTGCATCAAAGATTCTTTTGAATTATCTGACTTTATGCAGAATTACTCGTCGACTAAAAAAAAATATGTGTTCCTTTGATATTTCCTTTTGACTGTTTGATAACGAAATAAAACATGTCCATCTATTAATTCGCAAGTTCTTTCACCTCGCCATAATAGTTCCCCTGATTTACTTCTTTAAATGTAGTTTCACTTTGCACTACAGAGGAAGAACGATCCAAAAGCTGGATGTTAGGTTCAAATAACAGATGCCTACAAAAAATATAAGACCTCTACATATTCAAATTAGAACATCTGACCAATACATTCAGCTTTTCCATTGCGGAATACTTTATAAATAGTTATGTGGTTAATTTCAGTGTGGACTCATTTTCCATCCAGAGTAGGTCCAACTCAAATTACTAACTTAAGATATTGGAGTCAAATATATTTTATCAATGAAGCCTTCGCTCTGTAAACAGAAGGATTTTCTCCTTGGTCCCCAATTGAATTCCATCTATTTTTTCCATCAGTTTTAATTCCTTGTATCTATAATATAAACATATTTATTAACCTCGACTTAGCTGCATTGACCGAGATTCGAAACCAGTTAGCTAGTTCATTATTTATTTTTTTCTTTAAATTAAATTCATATGTGGCAGTATTAAAAATATAAATAAAATAGGTTTATGGCGATTATTGCATATTGTACCGCCAATAAAATGCTTAAAAGCAGTTCTTATGTATCTATTATTAACAATGTTGATAACATTTATCCCGTTTCTCAAATACTTGAATATTTATATTTTAACCTTTTTTAAAAAAAACATGAATATAAAACCTACGATACAATGATATTCGACTCTTTTTTATCGCAGGAACCGAATTTTAGAAAGCAAAATTTTTAGGCAGGTTTATATTATGAAAATAATGTACACGTTACATTTTTCTTGAGGGAGTGAGAAAAGTAACTGCTGGAGTTTCTGCTTTTATATTACCCATGATGATATATCGTTTAAAGGAATTACAAATTCTCGAAACTTCTGTTCCTTTCTACACGGTGAAAATGTAATAAAGAAAATATAAGTTTGGGTTAAAATAATTAATTGTGAAAATTATCTCTGATTTCTAGATAGTGTGTATTGGTGCAAAAATTCATAATATTTTCTATTCTAGAATTATGCTATTTAATCATTTATCATAAGCCGATTGTAAATATATTATCGATTCGTGGGTTTTAGTGTTAATGCTGATGATGTCGTTAGAAAACATTGAAACAAATTGTCAGTATTAACACTGACCGGTGCTTGAAAATACGCATTCACTGCCATAATGCAGGAAATAATAAATATGTTTTGAATTTACAAGCTAACATATTTCAAATTATAGAACGAAATCTGTTGTGCTAATCGCCTGAATAATACGGGCTTAGCTGACTCATTGACATAACAAAATACATGGTGAGTTCTTATTTGGATCAAAGGCAAATATGAATAAGACACCATTTCTTTGTTTTGTTGACATATATATATATATATATATATATATATATATATATATATATATATAATCCAAGTCAATCCAATTAATATAAAATATTAAAACTGATCGACAAAACAGCAATATATTTATAATAGAGCATTGAAATTACATTAAAATTATAACTAAAATTTTCCCCATTTATACGATCATCTCGCTCCCAGAGGGAGAAATTCCATGGAGTTTGTCAAACCTTTTTAGTATTGACAAAGTCTAGGGAATTTCTCTCTCAGGGAGGGAAATGGTTATATAAATGGTGTAAAATTGAATTTCATTCTTATGCAATATATATATATATATATATATATATATATATATATATATATATATATATATATATATATATGTGTGTGTGTGTGTGTGTGTGTGTGTGTGTTTTTGTATATGTATATGTATTCTTGGCAGAACGTCTATTATCGCAGTGTAGTATATCTACTAAGAAAAGTGATGAAAAAAAGAATCCAAATTAAATCGGCTAGATTAAAATAAATATTTAATTAATATTCTTATTATCCTTCCTTCGCGAGGATTTGCATTCGCATTAACTTAATAATTTTGGTCAAGTAACATTACTAGAGTTATTTTGGCTATGAAAAGAAAACTCTTGCAAACCAATATATCGAAAGCTGCGTAAATACAGTCGGAAAAAGGGAGAGACGCTACTTAAAACTAAAGAAAAAATAACGATCCAACATTGCCTATTCACAAAGACAGAATCACAATATACAGCTGGATGTTGGTAAAAGGCAAGACAGGCAATGAAATAAAAGAAACAAAAGCAATTCGTCAATAAAAAAAAAGATGGCAGGCAGACGAAGAAGACATGTGGTAGACGTTAAGAAATATCTGGGGAGTATACAAGACATAAGCAGAACAATTGTGGCGTTGCTGGAACGAAGCTAAGAGATGAGAAAAATGTTGGAGTGATGAGGGTAGAGAAGAAGGATCGATAGAGTGACGGAAAGATGAAGTAAATAGAAATGGAAGGAAACTGGATATCGGAGTGGAATGGATCGTAAGGCGATGAAACAACCGTGTTTGGGAGTGGATAGAGTGTTAGGTTGTAAAACATGAGATTACATGTCGAATACAAGATCAGAAGAAGACAGAAAGATAGCCAAAATAGAGAAATGGGGTATTATGTATGAACATCATTCGGATAAAGAAGCGCATACAATGTGTGTCTGAAATTGGGAGTTTTTTTCTGAGATTTTAAAATCCACATACAATATTCTACCCAACATTATATAAAATACGAATGAAACTTTGCCGTGAATAAATATTGTAATTACAATTATATAGGTATACTGAGAGTGTGATATATATATATATATATATATACAATATATATATATATATATATATATATATATATATATATATATATACACACACAAATATAGGATTGGTATATACGGAATACATTCCAATATCCAATAAATAGTATCCTTAAAAGAGTGCTCAGCACAGTGTAGAGCAAATACAATAATTTATTCCCAAATTCTAACATGAATATGTTATAAAATCACTATATATTTAGCCATTTTGTTTCAACACTTTTGGTGTCTTATCAAGTGATGGTTTTGAATATATATATATATATATATATATATATATATATATATATATATATATATATATATATATATATCCTTGAAAATAATGGAACGCATTATTTCAAAGGGAAATGTTTCTTCGTCCAATAATTTTCAGGAAAGATTCGTTTGAGCATCAATAATGAAAACTGGAAACTAAAATTTGAATTCATCTCATGCCAGTAAAGCTCGGCATGATTAGGTTCATTGAAATCACTTCTGTAGTATCTAAACTTGACATATTTATAAAGAAATGTTGTACTATATAATTTATATATAGCTTTGAAAATGACGTAACATGTTCTATTAAATAGAGACCTTTTTTTGCAAACGGAGAAATAACAAAATAGCTATTTTGTTTCAACACATCTGGTGTCTTGTCAAGTGATGGTTTTGTAAGTAAAGTAAAGAGATTTTAAGAAGTTCAAAAACCAACCACTACCATCAATGCGGTAATATTTTTACGTAAGATGTAATGGACAATCAAATTAAAAATATATGATAATTCAAATAATTCGTCAACAGAACCTATATACAATTTATTAATGATCTAAAATAAGTATTAGATTCTATAGGAAATTAAAATAAACAATTAATCTCTGAAATTTAGTAATTAAAAATTAAAAGTTACGCATATTAAACTCTAAATGTATTCATGCATCCTGTTTATTAAAAAAAAATGGAGAAAATGTGTCTAAACTTCTATTTATTGTTCTTAAAAACAGGTTAACATTTTATGCCCGAATCTGAGCGGTATTAAGAGGTACAATATATGACTACAGATTCATTTACATTGACAGGGTCGTGTTGATGGTTTTACTGGACAAGGGAGTAATGTTTAATTGTGACTAGACGTACAGACATCATGTCATAATAGACAAAATCATAAATATGATTTAATGTATAAGCACGCAAATATACGTACGACAGATCCATTAAGATTTAATCTTCCGACATAACTACAGAGACACACGCAAACTAAAAAGATCAAAATTGTACATACATGGAAAATCCATAAATACATGAACCTACCCTCACACACACACACACACACACACACACACACACACACACACACACATATATATATATATATATATATATATATATATATATATATATATATATATATATAATTTGAAGCAATTCATTCCAGGCAAGACGGAAGTGCCACTAGCAACCAAGGGCTTTCACATGACTGAGAGGAAGAGTAAAGTGGCGTTTTTGAGGAAATAATACAGAGAAGGACTGAGAACAAATTCAAGGTATCAGATGACGATTGACGTTACTTGAATATTTAAAGATTATAGTCATCGGGGAAGCAATTAAGGGGAAGGGAGTTCTACAGACGGGAAGTGCGGAAGAAGCTGTTTGAGTAGAAAAGACTGTTACATTTAACTGTTTTGACTGTGTGACCGAGATGCCAGCCTGGTAGCTCGCGTAAATACATGTAGTTCGGGAACCAACTAAAGTAGCTCGTCGGAACAGCTGCCGTAAAAATACTTGTAGAAGAGACAGAGGGAGCCTACGGCACGTCTATGGGATAGCGATTTTAGACTAGATGCTAGATCAGGACTTATCATCATATTCGTCTCTGGATTTTGTCGATTTCCTCGAGATGTCCAGCGGGAGCACCAGTCCATATATGACTGTGATATTTAATGCAAGGACGGATGGGTGATTTATAGATTTGAAGAATGGACTCAGACGAGAAAAACATTCTGACACGAGAAAGAGAGCTAATATTCCTTGCGGTAGATGAAGCTTTTGATTCAATGCATTTATTCCACGTCATGTCTGTGGACAGCGAGGGACCAAGTAGGCGTAACGAGGCGCTCTCAAGGAGTTGGAATCAGCCATTATGATGGGAGGCAGGAAGGGTTCTTCGTAGTGGTTAAAGGAAAGCACTTTCGTTTTGGAGGCATTAAAGTTTATTAGTCATTTTCTGTCACTGTCAACCATGGATTGGAGGTCCTTTTCGAGATCAACAGCCAGGTTAATTTTGTCAAGATCACGAACAGTGTAGGGCCCATTGTGGTACACCAGCTTTCGTGATAAAGGAGCCGAATGAGAACACGTTTAGGACCACCTTCATTTCACGGTTTGACAGGAATGCGTGTATTAAAACAAATAATTCTCCTGTAAAACCGTATCCTTGAAGCTTACGTAAAAGGGCAGCATGCCAAATCCTATCAGACACTTTAGAGCTTCTCCATTATCGCTGTGTGATTGGTAAACAAATTAAGTATTGCCTTGAGAACGTCAGTAGTATATCGGGTAAAGCAGAAACCATATTGGTTGGCGTAGAGCAGATTATGTGAAGGTGCTTAACCATTTCGGCGCTGAATAAAGCCTCGGAGACTTTACCGAAGTGTAGTATGAGATTGATAGAACGGTAGTTAGACGGGTCAGAAGGGTCACCGGAGTTCTTAAATACAGGCACGACAGTTGAGGACTTCCAACAGGCTGGAAAGCAAGAGTAATGAGGAAGTATTTGTAAAGTTTAGAGAGGACAGGAGCCAAATCAGCAGCACATTTTTTTCAGGACAATGACCAATAACTCATCCCCACGACTAGCCTAATGCGAGTCTAATTTAGATATGATGTTCAATACCATCGTAGGGTTTATGTGAATCTCAATCAGAAGAGCCTCAGTTCTAGGAGGAAAGTCCGGTGTGGGTACACCAGATGAGTCTAGTGTGGAATCGGATGAGAACTTACAAGCAAAGCTTTCAGTCTTATCAGCTGAGGAGGTCAGGACCACAAATCGGTTGAATAAAGGGGGTATTGATGGTTTACTGTTTTTCAGCACGTTTTTGCACAGCATCCAATAATCTTTTGAACCAAACTTGCGAGACGCAATACTTTGATCCATTCATTCGGCAAAAAGTAACTTCTTTTAGAACATGGTTGCACTTGTTACGAGCAGTGACAAAGTGACATCTGTTGTAGTCAGACATGTCTCTACGGTATAGACTGAAATAGTGATTCCTGTGGGTAATAGCTGCTGCACAAGTCACTGAGAATCAAGTCGATGAACGCGATTTCACTTTATATTTTCTTGTAGTGATGAAAGCCTCCATTCCAGCTTTTACCCAGGATGAGATCTCAGACGCACATTTTTGGACGGGGATGTTGAAGATAGAATTCCAGAGGACATCACGAAGGAAATCACGGAACTTGTCCCAATCTGCTCGTTGATAATAGAACGATGTTCTGTTGTTATGAGGTTCTTTACTGGGCGAGTAGTTGAATGAGATTAAAACAGACACGACGGCATGGTCAGAGTTGCCAAGCGGGCAGAGCCGCCTGGCACGGCTAGACTCGTGGATAGAGGTAAAACAGAGATAAGGAGGGAAGCATTACTATCATGGTTGCTGAGGAAACGCGTAGGAAAGTCAATCACTTGTTTGAGAGTTTGAGAAGTTGGAGAGTTAAATGTTTTTTTTATGTCAGGAAGTTCCGTTACAGTGGGTTTAAGTCATTTAGTATGGTGAGAATTGAAATTACCAAACACCAAACACCAATATATTTGCAGATGGATGTAGAGTTATATCCTTGCCTATATTATCGGAAATGCAATCGTGTACACAACAGTCGTTGGAGGATGGAGAGCGATAGAGAAAGAAGAGATAGCTTATATATTTGAGGAAAGACATGTATGAAGGGTTTAGAGATTCGAGAGAGAGAGAGAGAGAGAGAGAGATTTCCCTAGCCAGTGGGAGATGATCTTGCGCATAATCTCCTGGGCCTTCCATGTGGGTAATACCTTCCTTTCTTAGGATAGAAGGAATCGAGATATCAGAGGAGAGCATTGACGGATTAAATTTGCCAGCAAAAGACAGAAACTCCTGGAGAAAGTAATACAGAAATTCAACAAAAAAATAGACGCTATACATCTACAAATCACATCGCACCAAACCAGGGAACACAACTGCAACAGAGAAACACTGATAGAATATTTCAAAACAAAGTTGAGATACCTGGAATATATCAAAAAGTTACAAATCCAAGATGAAGCGTACAAAAGGAAAAGACTGAATCTCCGAATGTGGGTCAACCTACTCAATCAAAGAAAACTAGCATATGTCAATGCCATTAAAAATAAAGAAACAACAAAACATACAAAACCTTCATAGAAATGGAGGAAATATTTATTTCAAGGAAATTCCGCGGAAAAAGTTAAGCCACAAGACACGGAAAAAACAAAATCAAATAAAAAACACACAGAATCTAACATAAATCAAGGCCCCAATTGAAATACAGGAAGACAAGTCAATAAACTTTACGAAAAAATACACAGAGATTGAAAATAAATTCTTAACAGTAATCAAGGAAATTCATCAATTCCTGTCAGAATTATTGGAGTCAAAAAGCAACGAACAGGAGGAAAATCACGGAATATCTTGGTAAGAAAGATAACCTGTTTGAAAACACAACCAAGAAAAGGAATATTGGATAATGAGACAGAACAAAA